TTCCCCCCCCACCCTCTCCGCCTCCTCCTCTCCCCCTGCAACTCCGTCCGCTCCTCCCAACCCCCTTCTTGATTCTCCCTCCCCCCGCCCCTTCCCCTCCCAATTTCTTCTCCCCAATCCATTTCTCCTTTTCCTTCTCTCTCCTTCGTCCTCTCTTCTGGTTTTCCCTCATTATTCCCTCCGCCTTCTTCTCCACTACCCGAAGCCCGTCTTCCTGCTCCCTACTCCCCTCTCTTCCTCCCTGCCCCGCTCCCCTGATTCACTTCTTTCCTCTTCCCTCTCCGTCCTTCTGGTCCCCTCTTCCTCCTGGGTCTCCCCAGGTCCCCTCCTCCCTCATTCTCTCCACCCCTGCCCCCCAGCTGCAGGGCTGCAGAACTCCGCAGGGGACTCCAAGTGGATGACGTCATGCCTCAACCTAGGGAAACCGGAGGCCACTGCCCCCACCCCAGTTTTTGGCTCTGAGGTTTCTAGGTGGGGAGGAATTGGAAAGACTTAAGCATTTTAAGTAGGAGAAGTTAGAATGGACTGCTTCCCAAGTGCTGGTGGGATTGCTGTTTACTCTGTGCCTGGTTATTTGCATTCACATCTTTCCTCCCCCTTGGGCTCCTTCTAGAGCCAGAACTGACGCACTCTGTCTTCCTCATTCCGTCCCTGACTCATTCATTCAGTTTTTCATCCAGACATTCCAAGACCAGTTACAGTGAAGCGGCAAAAAGGCGGGCTCCTGGAGACCAGTCTCCTGGACTGCGCCGCACGCCCACTTCAACAGTGCCCGCTTCACCACCGGCACACCTCCAAGTCTCACCTCCAAGTCTCACCTCCAAGTCCCCGAGCTTATTGTCTCCTAGAGGGAACAGTAATAGAACCCATCATTGGTTTGTTTTAAAGTTCAATTGAAATAATACGTGTAAACAAGCATATTAGACATTCAATGAAATGTCATTGGTGTTGGTTATTAGGTAATTAAAATAAATGCACTAAAACCCAAGAGGTCAGGAGCAATGTCCAATTAATAAGTCTTGCAAACAAAAACGAATGAATCAATCTATCAATTGGTGGGGGAGAGAGTGGGGCACAGGACCCCAGGTTGGAGAAAGTAAGATCCTGTGTTGCTACAGATAAAAACCAGAACAAGAATATGCCTGTTTAATGCAGCCACCAGTGATCCCTACTTTACTCCTTGAGAAGTGGGATAACAAGCCTTTGGAAGGGGAAATCAAGATGTATCCATTCCTCACTCCGTTGATGAGGGTAAATTGCTAACAAAGCAGGGATAGAAATACAAATAAAGGCAACCACAAAAGTGCCAGAAGAGGACAAAAGAAGCTTCTTTTCCAAACATAAAATGGGAAAGGTCTTTCTAATCATAACTCAAGACCCAGAAGTCATAAAATGAGGGGTGCATTCAAACATTTAAAAAGTTGGAGCCAGCAGATGGCATAATGGTTACCTCGCTGGACTTCTACGTGTGCCCAAAATCCCAAGAAGAGAAGGGATTGCGGTGTCTCTGAGCCCTTGACCAATCAGTTCCTTTGCGGTAGGTGGTGCTCATCACTGGCCGGACACAGGACTCACAGGACTCCTCAGGACGCTGGTCCCATGCTCAGAGAGTGGCTGTAACTCTTCTGAGTCGTGCCCGGGTGCTGGCCTTTTTTAAAGCTCTCTGGGTGATGTTTATGTACAGTTAGGGCTGAGACTCACTGCTGTACATAGTTTTGCACATGTGCAAGATATGTTTAAGGTTATTCATTAAGCTGTATTTCTTACAGCAGAAGGCCAGAAATCACCTGAATGCCCAACAGTAGGGGATTGGATGAATGGATGACACTAGCATGCCATGCAAGACCAAGTAGATATAAAAGAAAGAATGCAGGGGACCAGCAGTTAGCATAATGACTATGTCGCTGGACTCCCATGTAGTCGACTACGGTTCACATCCCGGACCCGGTGGCTTAAAACTCACACCGGGCGTGTGTGTGCGCATGACCAAGATCCCCAGAGGAGAATGGAGAAGGGATTGCGGCGTGGCCATCCCCCCTGGGAAGTGATTTCTCGCTTTCTGTCTCTCTGTCTCTGTCTGTCTGGCGAGCACACGCGCCCTATGGCAAAAAAAAAAAAAAACTCTCCAAAAATAAAGAAAGAAAGAATGCGGAACCTCTCGCTACACTGCTATGGAATGTTCTATGAGATAATACATCGTAAATAGACAAAGCAAGGTAGAGAAGTGAGTTCAGAACACTATCATCTTTGGATTAACGGGAGGAGAATATAAATGGATGTTTGTATTTGTTATATGTTCATAAAAACCTCTGGAAGAGCATACCAAAGAAAAAAAACAGATGTAGTTGTGGAGGAGTGAAGCAGAAAGCCAGGCGGAGAGCGAGAGGAGAGGTAGGGAGATGTCACTACGCATACCGCTTTATTTTACTGTATCTGTGAGCCATGTGAATGCATTGTATCTCAAGAATATTAAGTTGCAGCCAGAAAAATAGGCTCCCACACTGCATCTGATCTTACAGCTCCACGGTTCCGCGTTACTGGAGGGATATCAGGGAGAGTGCTGGTGACTGGGAACCCAGTGCTCACTCCGCCCTCAGTTGTAGCTGTCTATTCATTGTTACGCTCGCCCTCTTCTGGACCGAAGGGTAAAGGACTGGCTTAAAGACAACCCTGGTCTTGGGCACCTTACTGCCAATTTGTTCAGCTGTGGCCGGAAAAATAAACTACACACCAAAAATAAATACCATGTGTAAATGTTTGTTCAAACGGAGAGCCACACAATATAAAAAGCAATCTAATTCAATTCATTTTTCTTTTTTAAAACACTTGCTGTAGAGTGTGTATGCTTCCTAGAGAGAGACAGAGGGGGGGGCATGAGCAATCACCCCCTGGTGGGTGGCCACATCACACTCCCTTCTCCTCCATTCTCCTTGCGGGATTTTGGGCATGCCAGAACATACATCGGCGTGTTTTCAAGCCACTGGTCTGAGACTCGAACGGTACGGTTGGCCATGGAGGATCCAGCTG